AATAATAATAATAATAATAATAATAACAACAACAACAACAACAACAACAACAACAACAACAACGATGATGATGATGATGATGATGATGATGATGATGATAATAATAATAAAAACAACAACCACAATAACTATAATAATATAATAATATTAATAATAACAATAATAATAATAGTAATAATAATAATAACCACAATAACTATAATAATACTAATATAATAATAATAATGATGATAATAATAATAATAATAATGATAATAATAATAATAATAATAATAATAATAATAATAATAATAATAATAATAACAATAATAATAATAATAATAATAATCGAAAACGTTTGTATAGCTCAAATCCTCACTCAACAGCAAGCTCTGTGCGCTTCTCAATCTATACTATTACCCCAGCATACCTGAGAGCATTCTGAAACAACCTCAACTTCTTGGGAAGCATAGAGTGCAAGCAGCCATTTATAGGCGCTAAACAGGGAGTTTAGAACTGTAAACTCCTTGGCGCTAAAACACTAACATACTGACAAGATCTTTCGCTGTCTATAGCCGGGTATCCATTCCCAACTGGGTGAAAGGAGGAAAATTAGTGTAAAGTGCCTTTGCCAAGGACACAACGTCGGCTCGACCTCATTACACGATTACGAGTCCGGTAACTTAACCACAACGCCTCCGACGCCACTCCGTAGGGCCTATTGATTCGCCAACACGTGCAAAGGTATCTGTCGTCTGCCAGTAGCTCAGATGTACTTAGCTCAATGTTCTGATTTTTTTTTTAAATTGCAGTTTCTTAATGTGTGGTATCGGTTACGTGTACACAAGAAATATTTTGCAGCAATTCAAAGTCTACATATTGAAAAAAGCGAGAAAAAATACATACTGTAGGAGCAATTGTCAAAGGAATGAAACAGGTCTTTCTCTCTTTAGATTTTTTTTTGTTGCTTTCTGGATTTGGAAAAGCTTGCCGACACTATTTATTCCTGGAATATGTTGGGTTTTAAAAAAAAATCAACATCACTGAGATGCCATCCTCTTAACGGCAAAATAAAAGGTTAATTTATGACTTATCAATTTGGTAACTGGCTTCTGTTGTGTAATGCGTAGACTCTTCTCTGCTCCGCTCACAATAAGGCACACATTTGATTCCCACCAGGGGAAGTTACGGTATTTGGTATTGTATTCCTCTCAGCTTATATAGGTAGAGCAAAATATCTCCTCTTCTAAATCATCTTGTTTCGACGTGGGCGTAACACGTTTACAATAACTTTCTTTTCATAAAGGAATGGACAATCTGAAAACATCCCCTGTTGTTCTTATTTCCAATGAAAAAAACCTCCAGGCGAAGTCAAGTAAAACGTAGCGATGTTCAAAATAATGATGTTCACGTGCTAACAAAAGAACAACAATAACCCCTCCACCCCCCCCAAAAAACCCCCCCCCCGAAAAAAAAAAATTCCAAACCCCCCCCCCCCCAAAAGAAGGCGAAGAAAAAAAACACTAACAGAACAGGCAATTCTGCAGGGGAAGAAACAAGAAAAAAGTTGAGGTAACGGCGGGCTTGAGAGAGGGGTAGGACGATGTTTACGCCCCACCCTCAATGAAAAAAAGGAGTGGGCGCCCTCCCCTCTCCCGCGTTGTGTTTTGCAAAGATTTGTATCCAGCGGCCGCCAGCCAGACATTATTCTCTCTATGTTAAAAGAAGTCGACCCACCTTTCTGTCTCTCTACACGTATCGATGGGGGACGATACAAAATAAGTTTCCAGAGGATATACAGTTGGCGCTGGTCGGCGGCCTTCCATTTGTTCGAATTTTTGTGTATATGTAGAAGTAGAGGAGGCCAATTTCTTCTCTCTTTCTACATCGTGTGGTGGGGACCTATTAAAAAA